GTCATCATCATCATCGTTTTCTGGTGGGAAAAGAGAGGCAAAAAGACGGAGAATCTTCTCCGTCTCTCTCTTTCATGCTCTCCCTGTATAAATATATAACGTTTTAATGGCACAACTGATGTATTAAATGAGGCAGTTTTACAATTGGGCTCGGCTGCGATGCTAACTGATTACAACCGCCTTATCAAAAGGGCCAGAGGATTTATAACTCGGCCTGGGCACGAGCCGGGATGACAGACAAACGGAGAGAAGCGGGGGGGGGGGGGGGGGGGGGGGGGAAGAAGGGTTTGAAAAAAAATCTGGTTTGTATTAAGGGGAGATCTTAAAGACGGGACGGGGGTTGCTTGCGCGCCTCGTTTCGTGGCTGAACCCCCACCCTTCCCCACTCCCCCAAAATCTCCTGCAAAGACACGAAGTTCCCAGGCCTGCCGAGCTGCCTTTCCGGCCCTTGCTAAAAAGTTGCCGACTCGGAGCAGGCGCTCCAGCCAGCCCCGGCGTTTGTCACCTCCTTAAGCAGAAAGTTATTTACAATCGGGATGCGAGCTGTTTATTCAAGAGGCCTGGCCTGGTCTCGCTGGGCGCTCGATCTCTTCCACCCGCATTCTTCCGGGTATTCGGTTTCCCCACCCCCACCCCTTTGGGGAAATGGGGAAGGGAAGAAGGGCATCCCCCTAACTTGCTCTCTCTCCCCCCCACACACACACATTCACACTCACGCACTCACACACACCCAGAGACCCTTCCGCTAAGGGTCTCGCCCTCTCCAGCGAGCCTGCTGGCTTAAAAAAAAGAAAAGAAAAGAAAAGAAAAATCGCATTTATTTACCTCTAAATAAATCTTTCCCCGCCGACGCCAAACGTGTCTAGGCGGATCGCCCTCGCCCTGCGTTCCGCTAGAATAACTCTTAAGGTAAAAGGTGCTCTACGCACGATTGCCTTCTTTTTATTATTATTATTTTAAAGAACCCCCCCCCCCCGAAAATGATCGACCAGGTATAAACCTGCCTTTCACTGGACATCTGCATCTGCACGGTGTGAAGTTTAGTAGACCTGGATGGGTTGAAGGCGCCTATGGGCGGGGGGGGGAGGGGGAGGCAGTGAAGGATGGGGGTGGGAGGCTGGGGCAACCTTGAGGAAGTAAGGTAACTTGGCCCAAAATCTCAGCCTAAAATAAGAGGCCACCAAGTTAGCGCTTCATTCTAGGAAGCCAAGATACAATGCAGAATTGAGGGTGGGTGGAAGGAGGGGGATGAGGGAGAGAGAGAGAGACGAGGCTCATTCGTCTCTCTGAAGAGAGTACACAGGTCTCGCACCCTTCTAATGAGCATCTTTCGTTCAGAGACGGGGGGGGGGAATATCCTCCCCCACCCACCCCCGACCCTTCGTCTCCTCGGCATTTGCTATTTTCTTTTAAAAGACACCACTCTGGTCCTTGCCTTGAGCTAAAACGCCCTTTCTTTGCAACGCGGGGGTCCTGACCCTTCTGCGCCCCCTCCTTAAAAAAAAGGCCACCAAAGCCCAGGGCCCAGGGTCCAGCTTCTGGGCCCCACTTCCTTTAAGGCGGTCCTTCTCGTGTTCCCATCGAAAGCTACAACAACAACAAAAACAAAACAAAAAAAAAAAAAAAAAAAAAAACCGGACTCTGCCCGGAGGCGCAAGCGCTCTCGCCCCAACCCCTACGATCCCAGCAGCAACCTTAGATATTTGGGGAGGGGGGTGTCGGTCGGTTGGGAGGGAGGGAGGGAGGGAGGGAGAGAAAGACACATGTCTTTCAAATTGTCAGCCGGGTGCTTCCTCTTTCATCATAGTAAGAAAATCAAGGCTTGGGGTAAGAAGACTCGGTTTGATCAAACCGGCGTAATTCAGCCTGGATTTTTCTTTTTTTTTCGAGATTCAGCGGAGCCTCACTCGGAATTTTTTTTCCGGGGACCCGAACTAACAGAAGGAATGAAGGAGTTCAGTAGAAGAAGACAAGAGCAGAGGGGCATCTCTAAAGCGCAAAACCGCCCCCCCTCTCCCTCCCTCCCTCCCCATCGTCCCACTTCATCCCTGGGATGGGGTTGGTGGTGGCTTTGGCTATTCGCATCTTCCCAAATTGGGAAAGCCAGGCTTCTCTTCTGGCAGCGGAGGCGTCCTCCTCCAAAGGATGAAACGAAGAAACGCCCCCAGCCCCTTTTTCCCACCCCGAGCCAGCGTGCAACAAGCCGTGTCCTTCGCTTGCTACCAAGGCCCATCTCTGCTTGGCCTGGCCTGGCCTCAGACTGGGCTCTAAGTAGGCTGGAAACTGCCCGCAGCTCCCAGCTTTGATGTCCATCCCCGTCGGGGAAAGGGGAAAAAGACCCCGGCCTCCTTTTGACAAGGATGCGGGGTGGTGGTGGGGGGGGTGGAAGCAGGAGAAAAGCTTAGCTTTCTTTTTTACAACGCCAGGCCAGCGTCTCTCTCTGCCGCCTTCGGATTCCTTAAGCAGACCTCCGGGCTCTTTCTCTGCAAGGCCCTCTGGGGGGGAAGGGGGCGGCGGGGGGGAGACACCATGTTGGGGCAGTTTTTGTTTTGTTTTTTTGTTTTTTTCCACGGCAGGGTGTTTCGCACCGCTCCACTCCGAGTCTCCCCCCAACCCCGGCTCCTGAAAGGATGCCCCGAGCGCTCTCGATTGCTAGCGAGGTCAAGTTGCCCGAAGATGCCTTTGGAACTCCTAAGCGCCAGGCCTGCGGGGTAGGAGGTATGTGTGTGTGGGATGGGGATGAGTGGGGGGTTTGGAGTGCTTGGCCAAGGCTAGGTTTCCCCCTTCCCCTGACCTTTCGGCTTTAGCGGGAAGGGATACTGAGCTGTCTCTAACTCGCCCCTCTCCCCTTCTTTGTGCCGCGGAACTATGGGATGGGGCCAAAGGGAAAGGGGTCCGAATGTAGGGGGGGGTCGTGGGGAGGAAGAACAAGTGCAAAATGAGGGTTTCTTTTTACTATGGAGGAAAAGGAGGAGGGAGGAGGAGAAGAAAAATAATAAGGAGGAGAAGAAGGAGAAGGAGAAGGAGAAGGAGAAGGAGAAGGAGAAGAAGAAGAAGAAGAAGAAGAAGAAGAAGAAGAAGAAGAAGAAGAAGAAGAAGAAGAAGAAGAAGAAGAAGAAGAAGAAGAAGAAGAAGAAGAAGAGGAGGAGGAGGAGGAGGAGGAGGAGGAGGAGGAGGAGGAGGAGGAGGAGGAGGAAAGAAGTGCTTTAAAACATCCTGCTTAAAGCTGCTTCTATCCTTTGCTTCTTTCTCCCTCCTTCTCAAAGTGAATTGCTGCCTTCATTTTCCCTTTCATGCAAAACATAAGTTCAAAGAGTGGGGGAGAGAAAATGTTGTCTCTATTTGCCAGCCTTTTAAAAAAAATCTTCCTCAATTTCAACAACCCCCTCCCCCCCTTCCAAGCAATGCTTTAGGCATCTCTACCCAACTCTCCATCGTTCAGGTCAATTTCTTGGGATTGGTCACTTGGGGGTCTGGCTTTTGCCCCAGATCCCAGCAAGCTAAGGAAAACTTTCCTTAAACTGCCCTCAAATGCCCTTTCTCCAGTGTGGGTCAAAACCAAGGTGGATCCACCTTAGAGGCTTCTGATTGGCAGGGGACGGATGGCAGAAGAGATGTTCTCATTGGAGAAGCGGTTTACACCCTTGCCAAGGCCCTTCTTCCATGCCTCTTTCAGCCCAAATAACTGGTTTTAAAACTCAGCTTGGAGAGGGGAAGCCAAGAGGGTTTACAACCTCCAAGACACAGAAGTTTGGAGACCAGGGAAGGAAAAGAAGAGAAGAGTTTGTCTGGGGTTGGCTTGAATCGAGAGGGCCTTCTCCCTTCTTAAAGGAGAGGAAGGCCAAGAAGAAAACTTTGCAAGCAAGGTCTGGGGGGGGGGCGGGCATCAGATCACCAAGGAATGCAACAAAACCCAGCTTCTGAAAATGATGCTAAACCACCAGCTCCTTTACTAAATACCCCCCCAAGTAGCCCCATTTTGGAACGGGGGTGGGAGGGGTGGAGAGAAATCTTCGAAAAAGAATCCGGCTTCACCAGCTGCCCCTTCAGAATCAGGCACAAAGAAGTGCCATCCACCACAACAATATGAAAAAAAGAAAAAGAAAAATAGAGAAAGCGCTTTTAAAGGCCATCGGATCAGAAGGGAAGGAAGGGATCGGGGCGGGGTGGGGGGTTGATATTAGAACTAGAGGCCTAATCAAGCAGAAAATTTGGCAGGCTGGTTCAAAAGGCCACAGGGCTATATAGGAAAAGCCCCCCCCTCTTTTTGAAACTCATCCCATTAAGTTCAATGCTCACACTGGAGGTTAAGAGGTGTCCTTAAGTACCCTGTTTTGCAGACTCTTCTAGACGGTTTTTTAAAACACTGTATACCTTTCTCTCTTCCTTACCCAAAAAAAAAAGGGGGAGGGGGAGAAGTTGAACCTATACAAATATTCTCTCCATTGGAAGAACAATTTCACACCTTAAAATGACCACAAACAATTCCAGACAATGCAGCCCCCATCGCTTTGCTCCAACCGGATCCGATTAGTTCTACAATTCACATCCATCCTAATATTGTGATCTTTCTCAATTAAATAATAAAACATAATCTAGAGTGACATTTCCTATTTTTTACACTTCAGGGAAAGAAGTAACTTTTCTTTCTTCTTCTCCCTACTCATTCTGTGAAATTAAATTATTTGTGATGACAGAAGGGGGGAGGGAGGGAGGGAGGGAGGGAGACTGGCTAAATATGCTCCAGGCAACATTTTGGACATTTAATTTTTGTTTTGTTTTGAAGAAAAAAAATCTGACTGGTAGAGCTGAATCTCCCTGCCATCACCAATATTTCCTTCCATTCTGCAAATTAAAATAGAACTGCGATCCAAGCTCCCTTTTGACACTGATTTTTGACCAGATCTAAGTAATCCAAAATATATAAAGAGATGTAAAAACAGTGGCACACTTAAATCACCCATTCCCCACCAGGAGAATTAGGAGAGTCATACAAATGGTCAGATATCAAATAATATTTTAATTTCTGAATACTTTCAATTTTTTTCCTTGGAATATAACACACAAAGACTGGACCAAACAGTTTTCAGTTATTATAACTTTTACAGTATACAGAAATGTTGCACTTAAAAAAAAACCTTCCGTTTTTTTTTCTTTAAAACACAAAAAACTGTAAACTCTAAGGTACTGAATCAACCACATTATCTATAAGTGCCAACAGTAGTGTTATTTTTTTTTGTCATGCTGAATTCAATGGTTTTTTTTTTCTTTTTCTTTAAAAAAAGGGAAAATATCAACAAGTATTATAATACAAAGAGCTTGCAAATATACAAACAGATAGAGGAACTCGGACAACTAGGCAGAACCCAATTTCATTCAAATTACAAAAAAGTTAACTTTGTGATGAGTCTCTCTGGAATTTCTGTGTACATATATGTATGCATGTTTTTTTTTTCTTTACCAAAACCATCTTGTGTCTTGGACACAATCTCCCTCCAAAAAAATAGCCAATTCCCTTCCAAAAATCATATTTTGCCATATATGCATTTATGTGTTTTTGTGTGTATATGTGTGTGCATTGTATATACATACCACACATACACATCACACAATTGACACATACATCTCCAAGCAGGTTGATCGTGGTTCACTTTAAAAAAAACACGCTATAATTATAGTTGTTGTAGCTTGAAGCTAAATTTTTGGCTGACCGGATTTAAGTGCGCTTCCATCTTTCTAGAATTATTTTTTTGGGGGGTGGGGGGTGTCTTTATTCCCAATTTTATGATCTTCTCAGAAACCTTTCCAAGACAGTTTTAATTCTTTCAGAACATATACTTTTTAAAGGATACACAGTTCTTTAAAAAAAAAAAGAAAGAAAGAAAGAAAAGAAAAATGAAACCAAGATTATATCAAAATTATTATAGAACCACAGAATAAACTGGTTTGGAACCAGGATTTCTTTTTTTTTCTTTTTTTTTTAAAAAAAACCAAAACAAAATCCTATAGGTACACAGACAATGTTGGACAAATCAATAATTTGGAGAGAGAGAGAGAGAGAGAGAGAGAGAAAGAGGGAGGGAGGGAAGGAGGGAGGGAGGGTGTGTGTGAGAGAGAGACAGAGAGAGAAACAGAGAGGAAGAAAGAGAATTTTTCCCATTATGTTAATTTTCTACAGGTTTGCTTTTTAAAAAATGCACTTTTAGTGAGAGGTTGCATTTCGAAGTTTTAACACCCCCTCAAAAGAAAGAAAGAAAGAAAGAAAGAAAGAAAGAAAGAAAGAAAGAAAGATTTTTTTCAAAAGAGAGAGAGAGAGAGAAAGAGAGAGAGAGAGAGAAATAGTAACTTGTGAAAGACAAGGGAATTTTAATGCATTGTGTAAAAAGTCCATTGAACAAGTCTCTCTTTTTTAAAAAAAATCCATAGTCCATTCAAATTATTCTCCTCTCTTCTTTTAGCCAAGATGTGACATCCTTGCTTAACCGAAGGACGTTTACACAACCGCCAGACCCCAATGTCACTCGCCATTCCTCTGTTCCAAATTTTCCATATATTTTTTTTTTACTTTTTGCTTTTGTTTTGCTTTGTCCAAATTCTCTGATTTGCGGAATTACATGTTTTATTTATTTTTATTTTTCCTCTCTCCAACATATTATTTTTCCCCCTTTTTTCCTCCCCTCTTATTGGATGGCCATATACGGCCAGTTAAAACTGCTTCCGGATAGTAGCATATCTCTGATAAGGGTTTCTATGGGGGTTTTACCTACCAAACGGACGAAAAACAATTGCTCTATGACCGAGGAAGAGACGGTGCGAAGAGAGGGGAGACGTAACAACAGTTTCCCAAAACGGGTGGGCTGGTTTGGATACTGACTCCTGACGTACTCTTCCAGAGCGCACTGGGACTTCTCTTGTAAACTTTCAACGTGGGCAACATCGGATAGACCACACGCATCTAGAAGAAACGGGAGTTCAAAGAAAAAGAGAGTGGGGAGGGAAGCCATCATCAGTGTTAAATAAGACACGGGTTTTCTTTTAACAAATGGACACACAGAGACACCCCCCCCCAAATCTTGGCCACCAATGCAAGCGGTGCTGAATTGACTGCAGGGCCGAGTTGCTATCCTTGTAGGCCCCTGTTCAATATTGGCCACCTTACACCCTGGTTAAAAAGAGGCTTAGGCCAAAGGCCTGAAGATTTTCTCTGGCTCATTTCAGCCCCCAGGTCTTCTTGCACTGGGCGGCCCAGATGAGCTTCCCCCATCCCACCCCGGCCCTCTCACCCTTCCTCCCTTCCACACACCATCCAGCCCCAATCCATTCCAGCTGCACCTGCAATTGAAGCTGCTCTTAACCCAACCCCCCCCCCCCCCCCGCGGAACAATCAGGGGACTTTCTCCCGAGGAAACCTGTTTTTGAGGCAAGCCAGCTTGCTTTCTTTGAGTGTTTAAAATCGTCCCTCTGTCTGTCTGTGTGTGCTTGATTGAGGAAGACAGCACGCTAAGCACGTGCTGGAGCCCCCCTCCCGGCAGGGTTGCCGAGGTTTCTAAGTCTTAATTGCCCCCTCCATTCTGAAATTCGGGGGGGAGGAGGGAGGGTGGGGAGTCCGTCGCCCTCTCCCCGAACCTGCACAGATTTTTTAAAAAAATTTTTTGCATGGTGTTGGGAGAAGGGAAGATGAAAAAAAAAAAAAAAACCCAACCTTATTGAGAAAAATAAATGATGACCGACAGAATATGTGAGAGTTTTAAAGAAGGTAGGTTCAGAAATTCGCTGTGCTCAGCTTCAGAGAACTGAGCCGAAAGAAAGGAAGGAAGGAAGGAAGGAAGGAAGGAAGGAAGGAAGGAAGGAAGGAAGGAAGAAAGAAAGAAAGAAAGAAAGAAAGAAAGAAAGAAAGAAAGAAGCGATTCCCCGTAAAAAAGATACCGCAGTTTCTCCTCAGTCTTTGAAAGTGATTTAAGTGGTCCTTTAAAACTGATCTTGTCAGTTTAGCTTATTCAAGGGCAGCCAAGCAGAATCTGATCTCTCTCTTCATTAGAACTGTTTTCTCCCTCTTCCCCTCTGCTGGCTTTAACACACACACACACTCACTCACTCACACACACACACACAAATATACTCACCACATATAATATATATAAAAATAAAATAAATACGGTTCCACATTTGACAAGCTAAAAAACAAGGAAAGCCCCCTTTTAATCAAAAGCTGCCTCGAGACTCAGGTTGTGACCTTAGCTGGCTGAGTAAAGTACCAACACATGCATATTTTGAAAGACATTAGAATCCCTGTCCAAGATCTATAGAAAAGGCCCAGGAAGGGAGAAAAAAAAGGGACAGAAAGAAAGAAAAAAAGAAAGAAAGAAAGAAAAAATCAGATGCCTCTCTGCGGGCTTTCAAATACATGCCAGGCCCTGCGGTATATTAGGGCATCTGAATTGGTCAGTCCCGCATCCGTTTCCGCCCCCTCCTCGTTTTATAACTCCACAAAATCAGATAACAGAAGTTTTATCTACCTTGCAAAGGCAATTTACATACAGATCCGCATTTTGCAAACAGTCATAAATCTCGCACTTTAAGAGCAAATCCTGCCTTGAAGTGTTTCCCCGGAAAGGGGAACAATATTAATAGCACTAATTGCAATCATAATCATAAATGCGGAAGATAAATTTCTTTGAAGTCATTTTTTTTTTTTTTTGGAGAAGGAGAAAGGTAGAGTTTGAAGGGAAAGCCCTAAGATACTTCTCCCTCTCTTAAAAGACACAGAGAGATCCACAGACAGAGAGAGACACTAACTCCACAAACACACCATCACACAGACACACAAACACAACACAACAGGCTTCGTTTCTAGAATTGTTTCTGACAACCAGCCACGTTTAGAGCTCAACTGATTTGGGTGGGGAACCAAGATTTGAACAGGGGGAAAAAATGCAATTATGGAAAGCAATAATATATAAAAGGAAGTTCAGGTCATGACCTAAATTTTGGACAAAGTCCAGAAAGGCACTTGGTTTCTCCCAGATCTCCCTTAACACAACAAAAATCTGAATTGTGAGAGTTTATTTTCTCATATAAACTGCACTTAGCCAGGCCAGTTTCCTGATAGTATGGTTATTTCTATATATATATGTGTGTGTGTGCATTTTCACAAGCCTTGCCTGCATGTATACAGGAGTGAACATTTTTTCCTAGGATTATTTGCTATTTAGGAAAGAAGACATTTTCAGATATGACTTCCAACTGCTTTCGCTTGACTGTCAGGCAAACATTACAGACCTGATCTCGTGAATTGTTATTGTTATTATTATTATATTACTCCGTGTAGTATAAAAGACAGGGATGATTTGAAATATTTGAGATGTCTTACTCAACCAGGTCGAACCATGGGGCTTATTAGATTTCATCATACCTCCCATTGTTGTTTTATAACTGTAACACTATTTTTATACAGGAGAAAGTTGACACAGAAATATATTCACTCCCTAGTTAGAATTTCCACCCCAGCCCCATCTTTGATGGTTCAAATGGCCTATTTTTCTCTTTTTATGACTTGCTGAAACGGAGAGAGGGAAGTCCTGCCATTTCTGAATTACAGTGGCCTTATTATTATACATTGCAGATATTGATGAAAAAAAAATATGATTAGGGAGATTCGATTCATAGCGAGCTGCGGTTTGGGAAAACAGCAGTTTCAAGACGTGTGTCACATAGGCTCACACGTTATATTTTTAAAGTATCATATTTTCTAAATTAAGGACAAAACCTGTCTCGTTGTTTAGACACGGTTAGTAGGCCAACCGTTGTTATAGTGGAGATTATCTACTCTTAACCACATCTAGGATCGGATCAGGTTTGCTTATGGCAGTCGATGATGGCGGTTGTTATTATTATTACGCTCAGCGGTCTATCTCCTGGCTTGGCGATCTTATTTTGTTTTTGATTTTTTTAAAATTGAAACAAGTTTGTTCATTGTCCTTTTTTTTTTTTTTTGCATTGGCTGAGCAGTGCCGTTTAGGAGCTTTCCGTCTTTTCAATGGTCTCAAAATATGAAGCTGGGATGTTCTGCCTACTGGCACAAAAGGCAGTTTTCTCTGAGCTCAGTGAGACAACTCTAGCGAGCAAATGTCCACACCTCCATGACAGACACACTTCCCATTCAACAGCCAGCCATTCAGAGGGGCTCCATTAAAAAAAAAAAAAACAGGGCCCTGGAGTAGACCCCACGTCCCTACAATTTATCCCCTTCTCCCACTCTTCGCAATATATACTTTTTCGACTTCTTCCTGCTCTTCTTTAAAAAAAAAATTCTCTTCTAATGAAAGAGAAGGTAACTTTCCAAACTTTAACCTTAGGCCTGCACAGCTGACACAGATACAGCAGGACGTGTCTCCCCGTCAAGCCATAGCTCTAATCCCCCTGTCTCTCTCCCCCCTAACCCACAACAAAACGCCCCAGAGTGCTCCCTCTCTCTCCCCCTCCCTCTCCCCTTTTCCATTTCTTCCAGGAAAATGGAGAAGAAGGGGGAAAGAGGAAGGGGGTGGGGTGAGTGGGGGAAAGAAGGCTGGTTTCTGAGGCCCGAATCCCACTGCCCACCAGCGCTGAAAGAACCCCCCCCCCACACACACACAACCAAGACAGAGACAATCACACACACCCCAGCCCCCAGCAGAGGCCGCCCCCTACCTGAGGTGAAGAGGACAATCGCCTTCAAGCAGCTGTATTCCGCCGAATCCACGTGTAGGGCTTTCAGCTTCTCCACCTGCTCTTGGAAAATGCGTATGTGGTCCATAAAGGCGACCACGCGGTCGGCGGACATGGGCGACGCGTGGAGGCCGGCGGCTGCCAAGAGCGGGGCGACGTGGAGAGGCATGGAGCACTGGGCGGCGTTGAGGACAAACAACTCACTCCAGGTGAGCCTCAGGAGAGCCACCTGGTCGGTGATCTGGAGGTCGGGGAAGAAAGGAATGTTCCGAGCCCATTCCACGGCGCTGAAAAGCATCCGAGCGGCCAACTCACAAATGTTCTCGATGCCCATAATGTTGTTCGGCTGCATGCACTGGCTGCCGAAGCGAGAGGTCGGGTAAGGCTCTGCCCGCAGCAAGAGAGAAATATATCCGGAGAGGTACGAGTGACAGTTCAGGGGGTCCCCGTTGGTTAAGGCGAACTGGCCGTGGGTCGGCTGTGTAGGCGGCATTCTGCCCCGCTGGACGGCTGCAGTAAATAAAAAAGAAACTACAGCAATTAATACCTGCATTGCTAAGGAAGGCTGAGGGTGAGGATGATGATGGTGGTGGTAGTGCTATCAGAACTACAGCTGGCTGGTTTTCTGGGGAGGGGGCAGCAGGGGGGAGATGGAGGGGAGGGGGAATCAAAGGGAAAGGTCAAGACACGAGACACCCCCTTCTTCCACCGACTGGAAGTAGAAACCTTCACATATTTGTGTGATAGCTGGGGGGGTGGGAAGGAGAGATATCTGGCCGTGGAAGGGGGTCTAAGAATTTTTAGGGTTTCAGCCGAGGGGGTGCAAGGCTACGAGGATGACCCTTCCCCCCCCCCATCAAGATCTAAGAGCAGCTATTTGGAAACGGCCTCGGGTGAAATTGTCCCACGTTTCCAACCTCCAGCTTTCCTCCTGAAACCTTTTCTCGGCCTTGGCCTTCCTAAGCAGTCCTTTCCTTGCACTTATATATAAAATATATATTTTAAAAATAATCATAATAAAACAAAAACAAAAAAAGGGAGGGGAAGGAGAAAGATTCGCCAGGCCAAGAGAGAGAGAGAGAGATAAAAGGAAGAAAGAAAGGGAAGAGAAGCGAGAGCCATCTCCAGCGCGGCTTTCGCACTCTCTCTTTCTCAAAACAGGCCGGAGGGAGGGGAGGGGGGGGGGAAAAAGAAAAGAAAGAAAGCAAAATAAATACAATCAAATAAACAATTGCCCCCGGGCGGGGGGGGGGGGGGGGGGGGGAAGGGAGGAGTGGGGAGAAATATAGGTCCTCCAGATCTTATTGTTGTACATTTTTCTCCGCTGCTCCCAGCCGAGGGCGAGAGAAAGCGAGGGGGGCTGCCTGCTGGAAAGCCCGGGGAAGCCCTACAGAAAGTGGGCCTTTGGTTTTGTTCATAAATTTACATGGTGGTGTCAGAGACAGAGAGACAGAGGCAGAGAGAGAGAGAGAGAGAAAATGAAAAAAAGGCGAGATTCACGGCAAAGAAAGCCGAATCAAGGTAGGCTAAGCGTGGGGTGGGGGGTGGGCTTGCCTGCAGCCTGACCCCCGAAGCTTTCCCAAAGCCGCCAAGACTCTCTTCGAAGCTGCTTTCACACACACACACACACACACACCCAAAAAAACAAAAAAGAAACACCCAACCCCGGGCGCCTGAGAAGAGTGGAAGAGGGCGCGCTACGCCATTAAAACAAGAAACCCGCGGCTCGCCTTTCGCTCGCCGAGCTTTCTCGCCGCGGCGCTCCATCTTGCGAAAAAGAAAGAGAAACCGAGAATGAAAATAACGATCAGCATCAGCAGCCTCGTACAAATCAAAATAAAAATCCCCGCCCCCGATGCTTCGATCCCCTTTCAGGCTTTTCAAGGCTGCCGAGGTCTCGGTTTCCTTTCCAGACCTTCGCGGCTTTCACTCCCACCTCCCCCAAAACACACTCCGACCCCGGCTTCCCCCAGTCTGGGCTCCTGCAACGCCTCCCCTCCGCTTCCGAACCAGAGACAGAAAAAAAAAAAGCGCTATTTCTTAAGCAAGAGAAACGGGGTGGGGGATGGGGGAAAAACCTTTTTAAGGGTCATTTTTCCAAGGCCGAAAAAAAGGACCTCGTGGAAGCAAAGCGAGACCTCCTCCGGAACTCCGGGGAGAGCCGAGGAAAAGCGAGTGGAACCTGCCGGAATTCCGAACGGAAGAAGCCCCGATCGGAAAGCTCTCCTGCGAGTGGATCGATCGATCCCGGGATTTTATTTATGGGTTAGGGTTATTTACAGAGCAGGAACCGAAAGGAAGAAGGCTGATGGGGAAGGAAAGGAGGGACGGGGTGTTGTGTGTATGTGTGTGTGAGAGAGAGAGAACAAGGGAAAGAAGTTTACGTAGCTGAGATTTTCCGGAGCTTCCTGTGTTGGGGAGACTGAGCCCCCCCCCACTTTCTCAGCCTTTTAAAAAAAAAAACTGGTTTCCTTTCCCGGGATTTATCCCAGCTACGGGAGACCCCCGACCCAGTTCGAGGAGGATGGGAAGCGGGAAGAGAGCGCGGAGAGAGGAAAGTTGTTTTGGTTTAGGGTCGGGAGTCTAAGGAAAGCCATTTTAGTCCTACCAACAGCCCCCTCCTAACCCCGAACCCAGAAACTCAAGGCGGTTTTCTCACCCCTCGCCTCATTTCCTCCCACTCAGGAGAACAAATGAAGCCCAGACCAGGGCTTTTTTAAAAAAAGAAGGAAAGAAAGAAAGAAGGGAGGAAGGAAGGAAGGAAGGAAGGAAGGAAGGAAGGAAGGAAGGAAAGAAAGAAAGAAAGAAAGAAAGAAAGAAAGAAAGAAAGAAAGAAAGAACTACCAGCACCTCGACTTTGTCCGCCAAAACAAAATATAGTTTTCTTTTTTAAAAAAAATCAAGCCTCCAGACCTCCCTCCGCAGGCTGGATTTCAGTTTTTAGGGGACCCTTCATACCGGGAGGGGCTACTATCCCTGCCTCGACTGCCCTCCCCGCCGACGGGTGAGAAATGGAAAACAAATGAAATTCCAATACCTTCCCGTCTCATGCCAACCTTCAGGCATTTCTTGAGGCGACAATATTGGCATTGGTTGCGGTGATGCTGGTCAATGGGGCAGTTCCGGTTCGCGCGGCACGTGTAGCTGAGGTTCCTCCGGACGCTCCGCTTGAAGAAACTCTTGCAGCCTTCACACGTAAATTGCCCGTAGTGTTTGCCGCTGGATTTGTCCCCGCACACCACGCATTCGATGTGCTGTTGCTGCTGTTGTTTCTCTCCTTGGTTTTGCTGGCTGCCCGGGGTGGTTTGAGCCGGGGTGCTGGGGGGCCCACCTTGGCCCGGCGTCTGTGGGGTGTGTGGGGCGCCCGTGGGGGCTCCCGGCACAGGGGGAGCTTGCGAAGGCTGCGTTCCTTGCGGGCCGGTCACATCGTCCTGCGGGTCTCGCCAGGCGCCCACTACCATTGCCATATCTAAGGGACACCGTGGCCAAATCGCGCGCCCCCCCGTCGCTTCCTATGGCCGCCGGATCCGCTCCTCCGGCCGGTTGCGCCTGCCGTTGGAGCCGGAGCGAGCTGCGGCGGTCTAAAAAGAAAAAGTGGGAGGGGGGTGTTGTCCACTTTTATATTAGTTTATTTGCTCTCCCCCTCCAGCCTTTTTTCCCCCTCTCTCTCGCAGTTCGCGTTGGCAAGTTGTTCTTGATTTTTCTTGGCTTGGGAAGTTGTTCTGGAGGAGAAGGCAGCGCGTCGTCAATCGGCGATGGTGCTGGTTTTCTTTTAAATTTTCCCCTTCTCTCGCTCTCTGGTTGGCTTCTTCCCCCCTTCCTTTCGCCGGTCCTTTCGTTCAGTTTAATTTAATGCTTTGGATGGAAGGAGAAGGGGGGGATGGTAGGAAAAAAAAAATCTCGGACGGCTCTTCCGCCCCCCCCCCTTCCCGGTACAATTGCAAAAATAGTAAATAAAATGCGGGAAGCAGACACGCACGCACGCACGCAGCAGGCAGGCACCCGAAAAGTGGGGTTGAGAAAAGGAAAAGGGGGAACGCGGACGAGTGGACCAGAGGGGGGGGGAAAGAAAAAAGAAAAAGAAGAAAAAAGAGGCGAGGAGGAGGAGGAAGAGGAGGAAAGCGCGAGGCGATTGTCTGTTAGCAAAAGGGGAAGAAAAGTAAAAAAAAAAAAATTACAAAAGGGGAACGGCTGGGGAGAGAGAAGAGAGAGAGAAGAGAGAGAGAGAGAGAGAGAGCGAGCGGTTCCCTTCAAAGATCTCTCCCTCCCTCTCTCTCTTGAAGCCGACCCGAGTTGCAAGAACAGAGGCGGGGGTCTGGGGGCCAGATCCAGCGAAGCCCGCAGTCAGCCATTCAGAAAGGCCATGGAAAGCAAAGCCAGGCGAAAGCCAGCAGCAGCGGCAGCTCGCAGGAGGCGCAGGCGAGCCCAGAAAGAAATCCCACGCTCGGCACGCCGGCCCTGCTCCTGGCGGGGTTTCGATCAGATGCCCCGCTCGGAGTTTGGCGAAGCTGTAGAAACATCAACCGGGGAAGAGAAGGAGGAGGAAGAGGAGGAGGAGGAGAGAGAGAGAGAGGGAGCGAGAGGGAGACGGGGCGGGCGGGGGGTGGGGAGGGGGTGGGTGGGGGGGGGACGGAAAGGAACCAAACAAAAACCACACGCGCGCGCGCTCCCACTCACACACGCACCCTCCACGCGCTCACGCACCCGCGCGCGCTCTCAGCCCCCCCCCGCACACACTCACACAGACACGCATCCCCTCTTCCTCCCTCCCTTCCCTTCCCCAAAAATCGGAAGTCTCTCCCGGCGTCTTCTCTCTCTCTCTCTCCTGCGCTCGGCTTCGCTCCTTTTTTTTTTTTGCCGTCGGCTGCTTCCCCTTCTTCTTCTCTTTTCTTTCTCCTCCGCCCGGTTCTTCTTTCTTTCCTTTTTCCTCGCCTCTTTCCTTTCCTCCTCCTCCTCCTCCTCCTTTTCCTCCGCGGCTGCGGCTACTCCGGCTCTCGTTCCCTTTTCCTCCTCCTCCTCCTTCCTCCTCCTTCTTTTTCTCCTCCTCCTCCTCCTCCTCCTCCTCTTTTCCCTGCTGCCGCGGCCGCCGCTGCTGTCGTCGCCGCCGCCGCTTTGCCCGCGCCTTATGCTACTCCCGTTTCTTTCGCAAGTGGGTCTCTTTAGCAAATCTGCTTCCTCGCACAACACATGGGGCGATAAGGGGAGGAGGAGGAGGAGGAGAGGGAAGGGGGGAGGGCGGGAGGGCGGGAGGCGGCGGGGCTGGAGGCGGAGGAGGAGGAGGAGGAGGAGAGAGGATCGGGGGAGGGAGGGAGCTCGAGCGAGCGAGCCAGCCGGCTAAGGGGGGCAAACCGGCGTGAACTCTCTCCCAGGCTTAGAAACCCCCCAGCCGGGGAGAGAGAGACCGATAAAAAGACGGCAGGAGGAAGAGGCGAGGGGGCTGGACTCGGGTGCCGAGGGCGGGGGGGGGGAAAGCACCCCAGAGAGGGGGAGGGGGGGAGAAAAGAGGGAGAAAAAAAGGGGGGGGGGGTTTAATAATAAATAGCAAGGGGCAATATGTATAGCTCTCTATGCACCGGGGGTTTGGCATGCATGTGAAAGTAGGAATCGTGGGGTGGGGAAGGTGGCCGGGTTGGGGTGAGTGGGGGGGTGGGGGGGCGGAGAGAAAGAGAGCAGGAAGACAAGAGATTGCAAAAGCGGGGAGGGGAAAGAGAGAGAGAGAGAGAGAGAGAGAGGGAGGAGGGGGGCGATTGCACAGCCCCTCCGAGCAATACCAGCGACAGAGGCGATTTTTAATAAAATAATAATAATAATAATAATATTAATAAAAGAGGGAGGGGAGGAAAGAGGAAAGAGGGAGAAGAACAAAAAAAAGAAAGAAAGAAAGAAAGAGAGAAAGAAAGAAAGAGAAAAAAGAGGAGGGGGAGGCCAGAATCCCAGGGATGCAATATGCGGGAGAGGAGGAAGAAGGGAGGAGGAGGAGGAGAGGAGGAAGGGGGGGGGAGCTAAAGGAGTGAATGCGATTGATGGGAGACCGGCTGGGGCGAGCGGCGGAGGCTTTTCTCCGCGCTCAGCTCACCCAGCTCTCTATATAGTGAACTTTGACACCGCGGCTGCAACTTAGCACACGTTGCCATGGCGACCGCTCGCCTTATAAGGCAAGAGGCTGCCTTTGACTGGTCAAAAGCTCGCGGACCTCCCCTCGCCCCTCATTGGGCAGTTTAGCCTTGTGCGGGGCTGGGGGGGGGGGGGGGGGGGGGGCTTGGGGGGGACGCGCCGCAAGAACTCCGGGCGGTCCTAAAGCGCGTCCTTTTCGGCCCCCTCCCTCGCCCCCCCCCCCCCCCCCCCCCCCCCTTCCCCCCCCCCCCGCTTTTCCATCCATCGCTCTGAACCGTCTCCGTCTGTTTGTCTGTTTGTCTGACTTCGTTTTTTTTCTTTCTTTCTTTTTCTTTTAATTTTTTCCCTCCTTCCCTTTCCTTCCTTTTTCCATCCCTTCCAACTCCTTCTTCCCAATTTTTTAAAGTGAGATATTGGAACAACAGTTAAGATGATGAGCGTGCATCATCATTATTATTAGTGGTGGTGGTAGTAGTAGTAGTAGTATCACAGTAGGACACGATCCCTCTTTTATGGTCACGTGGATTGTTTTTCTGGAGACACTGAACTTGGTTTTTGAAGCTGGGATTTGAACACAGGTGCGTGTGCCTTAAGGCAAATTTGCAGCCCTCTTTGGAAGATAATGTTGTTAGATCAGGGGTTGCGGTCCTCACGTCTTGAGGCTGAACAGAGGGGGAAAGATGGGGAATTTTGGGAATATTGGAGGGGGGGGGATGAGAATCCCATTTGGGCTACAGTGGGAATTTAATTATACCTGAGAAAAAAGATTTGAATCAACATTTTGCACCACTAAGAATCACTTCAATGCTGAAATCCCCCATTTAGATCCATTGCGGATTACAGTTCTACAGGTAACAAGAGGGTGAACTTTTGAATCACCTGACACCTCCCAGGGTAAGGATAATAATCATAATGCAACCAACCATAGTGATAATAACACGGCCCGACCTCTTTAATAAAGTGAAACACTTATAAGTCTCTTTAATATTCTCACCGCTGATCTTGCGGTTTGCCCAGACTTTTAAAAAAAAGTCTAACTTGATCTCACTGTCTGAGCCAAGCAGTTTAAAACTGGATTTCCAAGCTTGAACATTTTACGAAATTCTTCCTCTCTTAGGTTAAAGCTCTGCTTTCTTTTTAAACTCTGGGACAAAATTGATCCTTCCCTAAAGGTAGAGAAACCCAGCCTAATTTTTCTTCTTCTGCAGGACCAATTAACTCAACACAGAGAGAATCGGAGGGAGGCGATGGTGGCGGCCAACTTTAGAACAGTGACCTTAAACTTCAGGGTTCTCGTGAGATCCCTGCCATTCTTCTCGGCCACACCGATGATGATGATGATGATGATGATGATGATGATGATGATGATGATGATCTCTAACTTTTATGACTTTTGCTCCACGTTTCTTTCTCTCTCACACACACATGAGAACGCCTAAGTAACAAAAATGTCTCCACCCATTTCAGGGTGCTGCTATGTCTCCCCAAAAAAGAGGCTTCATACCCAGATACCTGTCCTGGGCCAAGGCAAGGAGAACAGAAGGGGGAAAAAAAATAGGACCAAGCAGGATTTTACTCCCAAGAAAACACGCTTAAAAACCACAGAAGGGGCAAAAATTTCAGAGATGCGTCCTTGCCTCCTGTTCACACGATTCCATTTCTGCCTCTTAACCAAGTCGCCTTTATTTTTAAGTCGCCACAAAAACCCAGAGCAAACAAAATCGCCGCACCGAAAGGAAACACCTCAGTGTTACGAGGGATGTCCAGAACAACTCAATTAGTTTTTTTTAAATTAAATTAAATTAAATTTTATAGTCTGAGTTGAAGGGAACCACTCCAACCTCCCAGCGATCCGTAGAAATCCAGACCTAAGAAGGGACATGGATCCAGTTTACCAATCTCGGCAAAGAAACCCCTTTTTCCGAGAAGGAAAACAAACCAATAAGTAAATAAAAAAGTCTATATAGGGTTAGCATTGGACTGGAAAAGAGAGGATAAACCCCCCGTATAAATATATAACCTGTGCAATGCGGTGCATAGGGATGCGGGCGGACGTGATGGATACGTACACACATACAAACACACGGAGAGCAATCTGTACGAATATATTTCTGTGTGTTTGTGTGTCTGCTGAATATACTATATAAATGTCTGTGTATTTGGAGAAACGGAGGTAAGTTACACGCGTTCGAAGGGAGCAACAAAATCTCGAGAGTTCGGGGTCCCGCAACGACACTCCGCATTTGTCCCTAATGAAATCTTACGACCTCATTTCCTCTCTTCATAATACACCTTTTTTGGGGGGTGATGGAGAGGGGACAGCAGAAAGAAAGGCTGCTGTTAAAGAGCTGGCAGGTGTGTGGAGGGAAGTCAGGAAAAATGGAAATATGAACCTGTGTTCGCTTTCTGGCCCAGTTGGAAATTCCGCCATGCTTGGCCCTTTCCTCTGATCAATTTCGAGGCGAGGGTGAAAAGCCCCCCCCTTCTCTCTCCCCGGTGCAAAATCGCCGAGCCGTCGGGTGGCGCCTAGCGCCTGGGCCCTCTTTCCCGACCTCTCAGCGCACATAAGAAACACGGCTGCTTCTATGCGCGCACACAGGTTGCGTTCACACAACAAGCTTAAAGCAGGTCAGAGAGAGATTAGCGGCTGGGCTGGGGCATATGAGGGGCTAACTTGTGCTAACCTTGTATGCGCGGGGAGGGCTGGGGGGGGGCACGGCCGGGGCGAACCCTGGGAATACCAAGGGCCGATTCCTCCAGCGGGTTAACTTCAGTCGCCAGGTGGACCTGTTGCCGGTCAACCCGGCCAGCGAGAAGCCGCAGTAACCGAGCTGGGGAAGGTCCCCGGTGTCTCGCAACCTCTGCGAGGAAGGGTCTGGATTTCCCTCGCGCGACTTCTTGCAGGCAGGATCGGCCCGAAGAAGCCAGCAGGGGGGAAATGAACAGCACACCGAGAGCCGGGTATCTTTTCCCCCCAGCACAAAGGGGACGAGAGAAAGAAAGGGGGGGGGGAGAGAGCGAGAGAGCGAACGAGAGAGACGGGCTAGGGAGAAGGGCGGCGTGCGGCTTTGTCCCGTGTGGAGTTTTTCTGGACCCGCGCGGAAGAGAAACGCATTTACCACGGAAAGGGGAAGCGCGGAGAAAAAGGGAGCTGCCAAGCAGATCCAGCGACGGAGCGCCGATCCCTTTCCCTTCTCTTCCAAAGCGCTGTCGGTGTTGCCGCCGGCCGAGGATGTTGGCCGGGCGCAGCGGCGGCTGGAATACATAGCCGGCGGGCAGGCGGGGGAGAGTTAGGGCTAGCCGCAGGTAGCCCGCGTGGCATGTGAAAGGAGACTCGTCCGAGCGCGCAGAAATCAGGGATAACTCAGTTATCTGGGATCCTCGAGGAACCGGCTGAACCCGGGTCCTCGAAGGCTGACCGTTGCAAGGAAGGAAACTAAGTTCGTGGCCGGGACCCCCGCCTTTACGTTCCACCCTGAGGATGTTCTAGAAGGCGGACTATTAGTACTAACTTTGGGTGGTGGTGACAGGCGACGAACGCCGGCAGTTGGAGTAAAGAAGAAGTACGTTCATCTGCCCGTTTGAAAAACGGGGGTTCGGGGCCGGAGAAATGGAAGGGAGGGGGTGTCTGATAACAAACTGAACCAAGACGAAATAGGGGAGAGAGAGGGGCAGAGACAGGAGAAAGGAACAAAGCCAAACTAAAGCAAAGCCAAAAAAGAAGAAGAAGAAAAAGTTGAGAAGGGGGAAATCTCTTTCTCTTTGTTTCGGGCCTTTTCTCCTTCTTTCTCTCCCCTGCCGGGCCTGTATGTGGGTGGTAATTCGGAGCGGTCCCGTCCTTCTCGGCCGTTCTTTTTTGGGGGGCAGCTCTAGCTGGAAGAAGGCTGCTTCCTCCTTGGCCCTCTGGCCGTTTCCCTTTCCCTCCCAGCTTCACCCGAAAGACCCTCGAAGAGTATGTGAGTGTGAAAGTGGCCCACCCTGCGTAGCTCTGATCTTTCAAGTCTATGTAATTATTTTTAAAACCGTTGGGCTAGCTAGTGGCACTTTTTTTGGGGGGGTGAAACCCCCCAAGGACTGCCAAAGCGGGACTTTTTGGAAAAAATTACAGTGCGAAATTAGAACATATGCTGGCAAGAGAGCGAGAAGGGACGGCGAGGGAGAAAGGACGCGCCAGAGAAGGGGAGAGAGGGAGGGAGAGAGGGAGGGAGGGAGAAAGGGAGGGAGAAAGAGAGAGAGATGGAGGGGGAGAGAAAAGAGGGAAAGAGAAAGGATAGATATTGGGGGGGGGCAAAGAAGCTGGCTGAGAGACACCAGAAGTACAGTATGCGCCTGCCCCCTAGCGAAAGTCTATCTCTGGCATTAAAAAAAAAAACAACCCTCAACTTTCAAAGAAATACGCGGCTCTTAAAGTGAAAGGTGCTTGTTGGGGTGGGGGGTGGGGGTGAATTTGCACGCGGAGCCAGGCTAACTAGACAGACGGACGGACGGACGTGGGGGAGGGGGGGGCAGAGTGAGAGGAGCAGAGGAGCCGCGGCAGAGAAACTTGTCGAGTTTTTAAACCTCTCCTTGGTTTCTCTGCTCATCCCATCCCTTCGCCACCCCACCCCCACCCCCGCCGGACCTTGAATTTATCCAGGACAGGTTGCGTTGACCCTCCGGACTTCGATCGAGCTTTATTGCAGCTTCTGGGGAAAAAAAGGCCTTTTCTTTTAAAGGGAGGGGCGAGGGGTGAGAAGGGATGAGTGCGGGGATATCCCCCCCCACCTCCCCCGTTCCTTTTACAGGCAGAAGGGGAGGATGAGTGTGTATTTCTTGGCTGCAGGGCAGGGTGTCTCTTTTCCATGCCGTATTTTTTTTTTGTTTTGTTTGTTTAAAGTGACACCGGCGTGGTGGTGATTTTTAATTCCTCTCCCCCCCCTCCCCGAGTTCCACGCAGCACGCAGACGCGCGCCCAAGATTCACACGCGCGCACACGCGCGCACCCAGAGTTGGAAGGGGCCAAACAAAACTTTGCGCCCGAATCTTGGACCCAAGCACGGATTCCTGCTGGCGACGGTGAGTACCCCCTATTCGTGATATTATCAGAAACTCTTAAGCGAGGGAGGGGTGTCGGCTGGGGTTTGGGGAAAGCAACTTGTTGGGGGTTGCGGGGAGGAATAAAATAAAACCAAAGCTATTCCTGCAAAAAAAAGGAAAACAACAACAACAATCCCCAACTCAGCCTGCACGTGGTTACAATCTGGGAGACGAATTCTTGCCTTCGTGTTCCCTCCACCCCATCCCACCCCCGCCCCAGGCGCTCCTCTTCGTTCAAATCTTCGCTCAAACCCCCCCATTATCCATCTCCCCGGTGGTTGCTTGGATTCAGCTCCCCTCCGAACTCTCTCGCACGATTGGCGGTGGGGCTCGGGGAGCGGAGAGGTGCGGTGCCGCTACTTGTCTTTAAGGAGCCTTCTCACGACAGCTCGCCCCGTGCACCGGCTTCTTTCTCGGGGTAACGTCGGGACCAGAAGCCCGTCCAGCTCGCCCTATCCCGCGTAAACCTTTTGCAAAAAGGTTTCCAGCTTTGCTCTGCTCTGCTCCGGGGGTGGGTGGGTGGGTGGGGGCGGCGTTGACTTAGGAAGGCAAAGCCCCGGTTGGGAAAGTAGCCCATAAGCAGGGAGTAAGCTTGAGAGTGCAACA